TTGAGCTCAACGAACTTCAAATAATACTGTCGCAGATAAAGAAAGTTTTTGCTGAAATATGAATGCAATTATTGAGTGAACCAATTATTCATTTCACAAATGACGCAAGAGAGGAAATGGAGATCAGAGGAATTCGAGAGCATTGATAGGAATGGCTGCATATATGTATTTCAAAGAATAGGTAATATTGTGTGGGCTGCACAAAGGTATTCCAATAATACAGGAAGATTCCCTGCAATAATTTGTCTTTAATTAGGTTGTTTGCATGCTTTTATTAATCTGCGATAGATCTAATTTTCCTGATTATTGTGCGTATAAAATTATACGTTTCGATACAGTGCTCATACATTCCATTTAAACTTACATACTAATTAAGAACTTTCATAACAATATTAAACAAGCATAGAATTCCTGCTATTTTTAATATTCTAATATTTTACGTAGATTATAAATTTTTAGTAGATAATCATCAGCATATATTTATCATTATTTATTTAAACACTGATTAATTTAATATGTTAAATATTATTAGTACTATATATGTATATCAAATCTAAACAGTATATCTCATAGATACGATTATAGACACATTTGCATGTTACGTATTGTGTACAATTCTTTTTTCAATTCTACTGTTGTTATTTCCTCACAATTGGTTTACGTGAGAGACACGACAGTTATTATATGTATTTCTGCTGTTACAAAGATTTTCTATGCGTAATCGGAGCGAAGAAGAACGGAAGGAGAAAATTAGTGAAGGAGAGATTAGAGTGGACCTGGGGCTGGATACAAAACTATGTCGTGGAAGGGGCGAAATTAAAAGGCCACTAGTGCCTTGGTTTTCTCTGACCCTCAGGTAGGCGGCTGACGTCGGGACTGCAATGTCTAAATCGTTTTATGGTTTACGGCTAGGCTACGAGAAATGACGGTTCAACTAGTGGTTAACTCGACATTAAATTTTACCGTTGGCACGCAAGTTGTATATTGTAAAAGTCGGTTTATTAAACTCCGGGACTGCAGGTTATCGATATTTCTTACTTCTTATTGCTGTGACCCAACAACTGTTAATCCAGAAATGTTCTTTAATCCTTTGCACTCGAGCGGCGCCGATACGGCGCCCAGCCGATTTGAACTGTCAACTCGAGCGGCGGTGCTGCGGTCCCCGAGTGATTTGAAGTCTTAAATGCTGGTGTAAGGTTTTTTTAATACTTACTGGCGTAAGGGGGCATGGAAATTTCCCTGATCAATTCATACATTTTGTATAAACTGGAAAAGACCAAAAAAGAGGAAAAGCCACTGAGCCATCTGCGATTTATGAAAACACTTGTCGAACAATTGAGAAGATTATATCGCCAGCAACGAGAGCAAGCGTCTACGTCGTATTCCGATGAAATCCGACTAAGCGGGAAGCTTTACGTAATACTAAAAAGGTCAAATAGGGACTGCAAGGTTTGTTCTGACTGTAACACGCTCGGAGGTAGGCTGGAAATTTTGTATTACTGTGATACGGGTCCTGACAAACCTAGGATGCATCTTGGATATTGTTTTCCAAAATATCACACCAAAACTAATTACAGAGTGTAATATTTATCGAAGTTTGTTGTTTTCGACATATAAATGAATAAACTTGTGGAATTTTATTATTTGTATACGTTTGTTTGTTTATAAATGTTTTTAAAGTACTTGTAAAGTGTTTGGCGAATTTGGCCGCAATCGTCTGGAGTTGCTGGTGCGTGCAAGCGAAAAAGACCTCGAGTGCAAAGGATTAACATCTTTGGACATACCTCGGATTTTTAAATTACTCAGTGATTTAGCAGAACGGTATTTATCACAAATGATATCATATTTTTATTAAAAATTATATTGTATTAATTTGTTTCATTCCCAATAGAATGTATTTAAGAAATATTCTTACTTGATGCTTGAATAAATGTTTATACACCACTTTGATTGCATCAATGTTTGTAGTCCTCCTCAGAGAAACATAAATCTAAATAATTCTTATTTATGTGTACATTACATGGACCTTTATGCATCTTTTCTTCGGCGGATCGCCATATTATTCGCAGCTCATATAGTTGATAAATTCTTTTTTCGTTACTGTATTACGTACCCGATGTTATCGTTATGTTGAAGTTTCTCAACTCTCTCGAGATACACAGGTGTACACCGATCTGTTCCCAGCGAGAATTTTCTTGCAATTCTTCACTAAAATATACACGAATTCCAACATATCCCATGGACCTCGATTTCAATGACTTCGATGGGTCGTTGGAAGCTACTCGACGCGCATTTCCAGCAGTTCTCCAGCCGTTACACCGATTTTCCCATGTACACGCAGGGCTTGGTGTCTCTGCAGATCGCTGGAAATACCTGAGTGACGGCTCCGAAAAGGCGGCAGACGAATGTCATTAGCCGCGTGCCGCGTGTTTGCACGCCAAATACGAGAGCATGGAATTTGCATCGCTTTACATAAGCAATGTTTTTAAATAAACGCGCCACGGCGCGTGCGTACCGGAGTCCTGTCTGCTTTTGAGCTCGTCTCTCGATCTCTTGGTCCGGGTGGGAAGAGCTGTGCTGGGCGGGCGTACCCTCTACTCGTTATCAAACTGATTACACGGTAAGATTATTGTTTACACGAAAGAAACCCGGCTGGAATATGGGGAGAAGAATGAAAGTGCTTTTTCCATGGGTAGACTACGCTTTGAGTCTCGAACGACACGGAAAGCGCATGGACGTTGATCGTTTTTCAATTTTTAAAGAAATTTTACGATTATGGTGAGGGTTGTTTGGAGAGAATTAGGAGCAAATTGTAACGTATATTGTGTATAATGAAATTATAGTGTAGTACAATTTGACACTTAGGTGTTTTTATATTAAAGAAATGTTGTAAGTTTGTTAATGTGACATCTGCTGAAGCAATGTATAATTGTCTGTACCTTTCGTACGTAGGATTTTTTATTATATTTTATACAATGCTAAGCAGAGTTTTACAGTTGGAGGCGATGTTGTCAATTTAAATGGATGAAAATGTAGTAGATTCGTATTCAAAAGGAGATTTGAGTAGACTCGTATAGAATTTAAAGACAAAATTTCATACTTGACTACGAAAATACTGGAGCCATTTATTGACAAAATGTACCTATTTTTAAAACTAAATTATAAATCATTGAACAAAATACTTGTCGACGTCGCTGATACCTATCAAAAGCAAGTTATTCTGTCACTGATTAATTGATTCATGTTTCTAATTTCTACTTCAATAAAATGTCCTTTCCAAATGACATACAGAATCGCCATTGTAAAATAAAAGTGTTATATCTCTCATCGACATGCGTGCAGCACAACTTAGAAGCACGGTCAGCGGTCTGTATAAGCAGCGTAATACTCGTCTCAACAAGTTGTCAAAGCTGAAGAAACATAAACACATTCGATACCCACCCTGAAGAAATATAAATAAAAAGGCGTAAGAAATATCCGGGAACTATGTCCAACCCTTTTTCGGTTTTGCAACTGTTCTTTAGTATTCAACTACGTTCGCTCGCTTCTCCTTGCTTTCTAATATTCGTCCTCTCTCTCTCTCTCTCTTTCTTCCGCTTCCTGATTAGCGCTCTTCAAACATACCACCATTTCTGTGACTGGCGCATAATTCGATCCCACAAAAGTAAAAATGATTTCATTTTAAGTATTCGTACCGCAGATTTGTTCAAAAAGTGAAGCAGTACCGCACTATTTCCTCTACCTCGTCAAAAAACGTTTCCACCAGCCAAGCACGTTACTTTGAACGCAAATGAATTACAAATTGCAAACTACGTTTGCGACTCCACATTTTTCGGTCTCGTTGTTTGCTAAGGGTCGAAGGAACGACGAATTAATTACTTCCTTTGTCGGCTTGTCTCGATTGATGGTCGTTTTCGCGAAAAGAAGCGACCGATTACCTATCACACTTTTGGGTCACCTTTTCCGTGAACATTTTCTCTACCCGCGAAACTAATCATGGCGTTGCAAAAGATGAAAGAGGAGCTTGTGACGTTTAATCACCGAGGGAAGGCCAGGTCACGAATGTACGTGTACGAAATTTCATCGATGTAATTAAAGTCGTGCAAGTACAGTTGGGCGGGCAGAACGCAGTTGCGTTTTCCCTTGAAAATATGTTTTCATGAATCCCGGTTGAGTAACAAGCGTGCGGGGATGGTTTTGTTGTGGGGGTGAAAGAAAACAAAAGGGTTGGGGGGAGGGGATCGTGGTTGCGACGGCCCTACCGCATTTACGGGTTTCCCGTTCGCAATTAAACTATAAATATTCATAACTATTTTAGCAAGACAAAGTTTTGTGGTGGGCTGCCGGTAATTAAGAGCCGCTACTTCTCCGAAACGTTTATTCCGAAGTCGACATTAGCGACGACGCCACCCTTCCCTTTCCCCCAGGTGGGATATAAATGTTGGTAATTTGGAGTTCCTCGAGTTGGTTTACTTTTTGTGTATGGAGAGTCCGCGAGGCCTTTCGGTGACCGAGAGAAATCTGCGTTTGGGTACATCTACATAGTATATTGAGAAAAAGTTTGTTTGGTGTGTTAAATAATATTTTTCTACGAAGAGAATTATTTAGTCTTTGCAAACTGAACAAAATGTTTATTGTATATTAAAAAAATGGATTCCGGACGAAACGTCATTTTTTTGTCGATAAAATATTTTATGCTTGGTGTAGACTAACATTTTCAATTTATATGTAAAACATTTTAATTCTTTACTAGATATTTAGTCTACTTCTGTATAAATAAATTTAAAATATATTTCATAAAATTTGTGCGAAGAAAATCGCTCGGAAAATCTAATAAATAATAGTGAGTTTTCTTTTCTTCAGTTTAGTATAAGAAATTCTATATATTTCTACAAGTTTTTTACTTACTTAATTAAAAACAATATGCTCATAACATATTTCTTTATTCGATTATAGATCTGAATAATTTCTTACTACTTAAGATGAACATGGAACTTTGTTATCGAAAAGAATAATATTTAAAATGCAATCATTTGTAAACTTTTATAAGAAAACAAATACTAACAATATCAGGAAGCACCACGACAGATTTACTTTGAAGTTGAAGATAATTCAAATTACAAATATATTCTTTATGGGCAGAAGAATACATGTACATACGAGTATGTAATAGTGGGGGAAAAATGATAGTACATCCAACGTCTTTGTTTATATTTAAATATACATATACACGTCCTATCTTGTACGTCTTATCGTATAGTAAAAATCGCTTCTACGAATTCGTGCTTCGGTTTTACTTGTCGAGCTCGGTGCTTCGGACCATAAGGAAAGTACAATTCTGTGCAATTAGAGACCAAGTTTTTTTATTAAATATAATCCAGTGGACGAAACTTTGTGCTTTTAGTAGCTAAACTTTTCTATCTTCGCAAGCGAACGTGGAGACTATCGCATCGGAGAGGTCACACGCCGGAAAAATTCGCTCGTGAACCCGTTCGCTAACCCTTCTCTCGGTTAAAGGGCGAAAACGATCGAACAAATATTGCTGCAGACTGCTTTCTTTCCTTCGACCTCTTTCTCTCTCACTCTTTATCCTTTTCTATGTCCGACGCTTGACTCGAGGCAAATGTAAACACAGAATAGAAGCCTCGACTGGATAACTGCAATGTTTGAGTCCCGATTTTCATGCACTTATCCAGTCTTTACTGTATCACTTTCTTCCGCACTGGACCTCAATAGCCTTAAACGGTCCTAAACTGGGAATTCGAACCCTAACCCGTAAAAGGTTCCGGTACTTCGTATTATAGAATAACCCATCTAACCAGGTAACACAAGACATCTGTAACCCGAGTAACCCGGTTAACCCGGTTGTATGCGCGTTATAATAATACAGTAAAAACCATAGTTATTACCATATTTCTAAACGGTAATCAAATTTATTTCAATATTGTTTGTTTTCTACTCTACTGCCCATCCGCGAGAAGGTCATGCGAGTGCTTACATTTACTCGATTTACTACTCGTTTACTGTACTTATGTAGCAGAACGGGGACGTAAACACTTGCCCAGCCTTCTTCTTGCGGACGAATAGTACATGTATTGGCATAAACAGTCACTTGAAGGAATCTCTATTTTGACCGGACATGTTATGAGTTTTCTGGGAACCCCAAGACTAGCAACTGTGACAATCAGGCGAATGATAAACATTCGTCAGTCTTGCCTTAGAACGTGTAGTGAACGTGTGTGTCCTACATTCATTATATACTCGTACATTGTAAACAATCTAGTTTCATTTGATTTGAATATTGCCTGTAAGTTCACATATCTTTGACTCGTCTGGATGTCTAGGATGTCTTCTTCTACTAGTAACTCACTCCGAGCAGGTTAACCCGCTCTTCCTACAATTCAAGAACCGTTCGTTCGTGGTTAGTATGGGTTACAGTAACCTTCTCTTCATTACCCGGGTTTGGGTTAGGGTTCAGCAGCGGTTCGAATCCTTGCCCTAAACGGCCAAAATATTAGTTGCACACTCGGCGCAATCGAGATAGACGAAAACCATGGCTGCCAGCCAAAGCGCCATAGCTAGAAAAAAACGAAGAAAACTTGTGAGGTTCTATCCGTCCGAGAAAAGCGATGATTACCCATTCCCCTCATTCCTCCTTTTCCTTGTCTTTTTCTACTTTCCTTGCTCAGTTTCATTATCCCGAAAGTTGGAAAAATCGTCGTCTTTTCCGTGTCTTCGTTTCCTGGTCTGCGGAGTAGTGGAAGTTTTCCTTTTTAAATACGGAGCAGCTCGCATCCGACGAATATTAATCCGTAAATTTTTCACTGAACGTGAACAGGAATGCTCCTCCGTTCTCTACAGGAAAACGGAGCGAGACAGAATCAGCGGAAACGATTCAAAGATGTATACATTCCCGTCCATAAGAATGTGGATACTTTCTCAATTGGAAAAAATATCTAAACCAAGTTTCGAATTTATTAATGAGTATTATTTATGGTTTTGTCTTTACTTTATACTGCATTAAAGAATATATTTTATGAATAATGTATTTAAAATCTCACCAGTAGATATTACTAAAAAGCACTGACCTTTTTACAATTGATGTATCCACCCTGCACCCTTAAAAACTTCTTTTACTAATCTTGGTATCCTAGCTATTACTTTCTTCATTGTATCCGAAGTAATATTATTGTATTTATTTTGTAATATTTTACAAAAATGTTTTTCAAATATTGGATATTTTTTTCGAACTTTTTCATTTAAAAGATACCGTAGTTTCTTTTCTTAATTTTCTTCAATTCAATTTTCACATCTTTTGACTTACTAAAACCTCTTTTTTTTTTCATTGTGTTTGTTTAGTAAAGATTTCATAACTGCACAACTCTGAATGCTGGTCTCAGCGAGACATCTTTTTATGGTTCTTAACAAAATTGTATTGTCCCTCGTGTTGTTTATTTCTACGGCTATCTTAGAAGCAATGCTTCGTATAATTGAATTATTTAGACTTTAAAGAAAACGATCTTTCATTGCAGTAGTTTCTTTAACCCTTTCGGTACTACTGGCGCCTATAGGCGACATACACGTAACGCTCTCTGGGTTCAACTGCCGCCTATTGGCGGTAACCACGAAACGAGATGATTACTTTCTGTAGTATGCATTACAAAACTACAAAAGTTTAGTGTCAATCACGCTTGAGATTTCTATGAATGCCGGAAAACACGTTTTCGCGGCTTACGTTGCTGTACGGTGCAACCACTCTTGTGGGAAACTTTCTTGTATCACGAATGAATAACCGCGGTCAGCTCCTCCATATTGAAATGGTTAAGCCTACCTGATCACTTAATCAATGAATAAATTCTTGTAGCATCTTATTTCATATACCATAACTGACACAGGACTTTGACAACTTCAGTTTCTCTGCATGGTCCCGTATGGAATTCTCTTACTTTGATATCGTAACTATTTGAGAAACCATTGTTATGTTTAATTTTTATTGTTTCGTACTCATAGTGCTCTTAGACCTGCTCAAGTAAAACCGATTTCGTTAAATGACAGAGTTGTCCTATGCTCTTAACTGTTTTGTGTTCATCGTGAACTAAAATATATGCATTACTCTAGTGAAATGTGAGGGTTACGTACGAGCAATACAATTATCGTGAAGCGAGATAAGAAAGCTTCAACAAACGACCATATACAATTCGAAAATTTTAGTTATTTAAAAAGTTTAAATGTATATTCGAAATAGAATTCAGTAGTAAACATAATTGTATAGTAACAATTTAGGTTGTATATCAATTATTCATTGAAAGTGATAAGTGTCCACATATTTATGGACAGGGATGTACACTCTCCTAAGCGATTACTTTCTTTAATCTCTCGAATGGGTTACTTCCGCGCGGCTGCAACATTGCAGAATGGATAAACGCAATGTTTCCACGGTGGATTTTGCGTAACTGGCAGATGGTGCCTCGATAATATTTTATGAGAGATAAGATCGCGGCTCTCCAGATGCTTCGTACGCCGCGGCGATTTGCACGGAGCTTTCTGAATAAATGCTAAGATACGAACAGCCGCGGCGTGCATTACTGCGAATTGCGAGTTCCTCGCGAGTTATGCCTGTTTTATTGTTACTAATTTTGCTATTAGCGCGTTGCCATTTATCGACGGTGCGGCGCCGGCGGTCGGTTTAACTTACCCATGCGATTATCATTACTCAAACGTGAGGATCTACGGTCTACGTGATCTGAGGAAATTGATTAAACAAAGTGTTCATCGAACTTTGGAGAATCTAGAAACAGAGGATTTAAGAGGATGACAATTAAAGAAACAACAAAAGGAAGCAAAGTAAATTCAAATTACCAATGTGTAAAACTACAAGTTTCAAACTATTAGGTTGTCCCAAAAGTTTCTTTCGCTTTATTAATAAGTAATACATGCACAATATTTTATGTTTTATGTTACATTACTGAATTGTGCACGATTTATTTTGCTCCATTACTGTTACAACATGAATATCTATGAAATTAGTTTGTCTATTTATATAAACACGACCACATAAAATAATCGAGTGCAACTCGCGAAAGAAACTTTCGGGACAAGCTAATATTTTGTTTGTTAACATTCCTTCAAATATCTCATCGGAATTCTAATTGTTTTCAATTTTGTCACCAATCCGATGATACTTCGATATATCTATACATATTCGTGTATTGAGCGATTATGATCAATTACAATTAATTGAATTCCATGATAAACCAACATACTGCGAATTTAACGTGTTTCTATGAAATGGTGAACTCGCTGGCGTAAGATTAGGCCGATTGGAGAAGTTTCGCTCGTTTCGTTGCCGCAATTCCCAAGGAAGAGACACTTGCAGCCTTCAGCCGCGCTCGATTCACGCTGATGTGCCGAGGCAACCGTGCACACACCATTTGCGGATGCATGGAAATATATAGCGTACACATGACACGTGTGTGCGCTTCGTAAGGGTTTAGAAATCCATAATACTCGTGCAAGTACCTAGAGAGGCAAACGTGATCCACGTTACGATGCACCGGATTACTTCATGCGCGGAAATTGACTCGTGTGTCTCCTGTGAGGATTCTTACGAAACGTGGGAATCTACGAAAAATAAAAATAAGTAACGTGCTCAAAAAACATATGTGAGAGGATTTCAAGATAGATATATTAATTTTAATTTCTACTAAATTGATCGTATCTTAGAAATATACAGGGTGAGTCTTATAACGTGACGCCCTCAAATAAATCGCAAGGTATTTGTTGTACGACGAAATGTTTCAAACAAAAGTTGCATGGTATCTAGGGGGACATACAGTGATGTAATCTGTTTTTTATTACCTTACTTTTTTATTGAAATATTAGTGTCACCTTCGCTTTTTTAAATAAAATGTCTAATATTTTTTTTTTTTTTTTTGGAATTCGGATAAATCATCAAATTTTACGTAAAAAAGTATTACATGAAGTGGGACTTGAAATGAATAATTACTGAGATATCTTCAAATTAATAATCTACTATTAGGAAATACGCTTAGTCAACGTGATTCTTAGCACGACTTTATTCACGTCGATAGGTCATGTCTGTAAACAAGTTCCCTGTTAAATATTAATAATCATCAACACGAAATGCCTATTTAGTATCTCGGTAAGCGTTAAAGTCGTATTGAGAAAGGTGCTACATTTTTCTTACGATGTTCAGTAACAGTGAAACAACGTTATGATAATTGTCTATGGTGCGTGTGAAGAAAATGCTATAAGAGCTAAGATCTTGTACCAAGCTAAGTATCCTGATCGAAATCAATCATCGCATTCTACCTTCTTAAGGCTTAGTCGAGGACTCACAGAACATGGCAATTTTAATGTACAGAAACGTAAAAGGTATCACAAAGTTGTGAATAATGAAGAATGTCGTACTTCAACCTTAGCAGCTATTGCTCATAAACTTCTTTTAGAAATATCTCAGTAATTTTTCACTTCAAGTCCCACTTCATGTAATACTTTTTTACGCAAAATTTGATGATTTATCCGAATTCGAAAAAAAATATTAGACATTCCAGTTAAAAAACTGAAGATAACCCTAATATTTCAATAAAAAAGTAAGGTAATGAAAAACAGATTACAGCACTGTATGTCCCCCTAGATACCATGAAACTTTTGTTTGAAACATTTTGTCGTACAACAAATACCTTACGATTTATTTGAGATCGTCACGTTATATGACTCGCCCTGTATGTAAAAAATTATATTAATAACAATTTTACGTTGATATTAACATCCGTACCAATTTGTTTGTATCTCCAATGGGTACAATTTTCATATTGCATCTTCATATTGCAAAATTTGGTAAATTATACCATAGAAAAATTAAGACTCAGGAGTTCAAATAGTAATTCCTTTAAGTAACGTGTGAGGATCATTTAACGAGTATCATAATTTCTCTCAGCTACTGAATGTCGTAAACTTGAATGAACATTTCGCTACAGTTTTTGATCTCTTAACGACAAAAATGAAACTTAACAGCTGATGAACTATTTTATTGAAACACAAACAATGCAATCTTACTTATATTATACAATTATACTTCTAACAAGACCAATCAGTAACCGTGAAATTAATTTGGAAAAAGATCTGAACAATTATTGTCAAATGCAACTGATTCAAAGTGTCAAACAATTACCCCCGATCATGTTCCTGCAAAGCACTTCTCCCATAACACAATAAAATATCTAAACACCCGCCACATCAATTCTCACGAGATCTCCTTCGAGTCTACCGCCAACTTCCATTACCACCGAATTCACGGTGTACTTCTACATGAAGCGTGCATCTTTAAAGCACGATCGCTCAGCAATGAGGCCAGTTCGGTGTTCTATATCCGAATCCTAGTTTGCTCCTCTTTTTACCGCTACGGAACGTGTCTGTCTTCCCGATAAAAATAAGCAACACGAAAGCAGAGTAAACAGTGGATCGAGCGGGGACCACGGGACGAGGAAAAAGGAGTGGAGGCATAGACCGAAGGAGGAGGCAACAGATATACGGAGCGCGGGCAAAGGATCGGATCGAGTAGGTTCAGATCAGATCAGATCGGTCGTGGGTGGCATCGGTGACGGCGATGGTGAACGGGTGGGCTGTGGTAAGCGCAGAATCGTGTCGCGGATAAAGTGGTACCCGTCACTGTCTGTCAGCAGCCCTTGTCGTAGTTTCTCTCTTCTTCATCCCCCTCGTTTGCCGCTCTGACTGAGCTGCCATAGACTCCTCTCTGTCTCTCTTGCGTATCCTTCGTCTCCCGAACGTACGTTTCTGGTTACCATAGTTCACGGACTCGAGTATGCATATATGCATAAGTCTTTATTTAATAGGTCAATCGAATTGTGCGTGGAATAAATTTATAGATAAGAGTCGGTACACCTGATCTAAAATCTGCAACTAAACTTTCAATTTTTGCTTTAAAATGCTTATAAAAATGAATTCTAGTGGAAAGTGGGTCATTCATATTATGAATGAGTTTTACGAACATAACTTTGTTGTACTAAGCAATAATAAGTAATTATTATTAGTAGATTTAGAAAATATATTAGACTAACGGGTCCCTGATCGAAGGATTTTTTAATTTTCTTATATACTTTTCTTTTTATTCTCTATTTAATCATTTAATTTTATAATGAAAATTGAACTTCAACTTCAAATGTGCATCATTTTGTTTTAAATTAATTTTTTACAAAATCCTTTGATCAGGGACCCGTTAGTCTAATATATTCTCCAAATCTATCTTTATTTTTGTTTTCAGGTATACCAGTTTGAAGAAATCTTGCTCACCGCAAACAAAATGGCAACCCACAACATCGCCTGTTATGACGAAAGTACTTTCTTTAAACTTCTTTAAAATAAGTTGCTATTATTGTGCATATTGTGAATACGTTTTCTTGTTCTCGATTCTTGAGAAAATTTTAATTAAAATCACTTCGTTCCACAATTTTTATATTATTTTTCTGTTACAATAAACTTCTTCTCTTCGTTCCACAGTTATATAACAGTCTCTATGACTGAAGAATAGAGGTAGTCTTTCATGAATTCCATTTCTGTCGTTATTACACAACTTGTTCTACTGTAGCGGATATAAAGTCTAACTGGAACGACCAAAAAGCACTCGTAGCATCAAATTGTGTTCGTCGAAGTGCACTAATGTATTCTTCAAGACCGTGCTATCCACACATAACTGCTATCTTCACGATGAATCGAGAATTTTCCCGTCCTTACTGATATCTCGACATTTTCAAATAGTTAGCAAGTATAAGAGTACTTCGTCTGGCTCGTTCGAAACTGTCTTTACGATTCAAAGGTTATAGCGATCAGCAACGACTTCTCCCTCAGGCGTTTCGCTACGGGGGACGGAACACAATTAAAAACAACCAATATGGGAACACTCTTCGATTCGTGAACACAGATGAACGATAAGGCTCCATTTTCAAGCGTCAATCGGGGATTACTTAATCTCATCCTGGATAAACAAGGAATTCATTCAGATGTGACCCCATTTTCTTCTGCATTCGGTATAATTGAGAACATCGATATAATGTTAAACAATGTCGTCCTCCGACTGGGGACAAATAACCTTTTAACAATTCATACTGGAAGAGGCAAGGGAAGTGAATTATTAGTTACAGATACTCATTTTATGAAAATAAAATGACAGGTTTTTTTACTTGTGCGATCTCGATCTGTAGTATCAATGTGGAATTAACAGAAGTACGGAACGATTGTAACCATTTTTAATTTGTAAAATGCAGAAAAAAAGAAATAAAAAATCTTGGAAGCCTTAAATGGGTTTATAGGAATTTATTTCATACTATTTAACAGCGAATTAATTATTTTAGTGAATGGTATTAAGAAACACTAACTAAGTACGTAATTTCTAGATATAATTAGTTCATTGTAAACGAAAGGTCCAATATAATTTGTTTTCCTGTCTTATTTTTAACAGAAATTCAATAATAGGTAATAAATGATGCACAATTTTTTTATATTTAGACTTTAATTAAGGTAATGAAAAAGAGGTTTGCTCATTCCAATATGTTCTGGAAAACGAAATCACAAATTTTAGATCAATATTAGGGTAGAATTTTTGTTTGTTGTGCATGGTGTACTAGCAGGGAACATTAGGTTTATAAATAAATTGAAAACATACCATCAATTTTTTGTGTACTGTGCTTTGATTTCGAGAAAATCAATATCGATGTTTATTGGATCTACTACATTTGCACAAAACATAATAAAGTGTTTAAAGTATTGTTGAATTTGATTTGTGAAGTTTCCTTTCCGTGTTATGATTGTATTGGTCAAGTTTATCAAAAATCTTGAGAAATAACTCATCAAAAGAATTATTAATTAAGAGTACCTCTTACATTATAAACAAAGGGAGTACATAATTCATCAAATATCCAAAAATATTTTTCCAATCGCTGAGCTAACTCAATTACCTGTTAGGCAGTATTATTTAGTAAACAAAGAATATCGTGAGGAAGGAAAACAACAAGTTGTCACAATGAACAATTTTACATGTTTACCACATTTTTCAACTAGTTAATTAAAAATGCTGCAAAAGTTTTAATAGACGAGTTAATCTTCGAACTTTCATATTCTTGAGTTCTAATAATCCATACATGGTGCATTGAACTTTGTTCTAACCCGAATCTTAAGAAAGTGATCAACGACCAGGTAATGATCGATTACTAAAAAAAACTCTATGAAGATGTTACGTCCCAACTAGTTTGAGACTCTTTTTTATGGATTCTTATCTTCAGTTAACGAACTAAAGCGCACCTTATTTGTATTTACTAGGAAAAGAAGGAATTCTAGGATTCTATAATGATTGTTATTAAGTTTTAATTATTAACAAATATAATTATGAAACAAAAACTGAATTTACGATTACATACAAGCAAGAATATAAATTATACAATTGAAAATGGGTTTTAACGATACCGATCGTTGATCTTATGTTATCGGCGGCGACACGGGATTCTAATAATTGGCGAATAATTGAATTAACATCGGACTTTCGTGGGTAACTCCGCGGTGACTTTATCTTTAGTGCGTATGCTCTCACTTACGCGTACTCTTTACTTTGCTAGAAGATACGATACGCGATACCTAAATGAGACTATCCCGAAAAATTAACCCATTCGAGTCTACAGAATAATAACTGCAAAATATCAATATACAATGAGCTATCCGTGGTCGTGACCACGGGTTTATAAAACCCCAGATCCTTGCCTGCGCAACCCGTAATTTCAGAATCTTAATTGCCCCACTTCCCGAATCTGGAGCAAGTCCCAAATCCAATGGGCAATTCGTGTGCAACAGCCTAATATCGCTGACGCCCGTTTGCTGACTCGCGGTTTGTATCATTCAATTCTCGAGAAACGATTTCCGATTTGCGCTGTATCGAGCGCATTCCTAAGAATTTACCGATCCTGCTATGTGCAATACGTCGATAGGTCAATAGGTCGAAGAAAAGGGGCACCATTCGGCAGGGCCAGATGTAACAAAGACGGGAGCGATAAAAGAGACGTCTCGATGCAGAGAAGCAGCAAGTGGCTGGTCTCCTCTAAACACGATACGAACGCAGATGAGCAGCCACGGGGAGAACGTTCCAGTCGCACGTAATGCGATTCTACGCGGTGCACGCGTGCGTGCATCCAAGTCCGTCGGCGGTTCCGTGTGCACGCACATGTACAAGGTGGTGCATGGTCGACCATACACCACCGAAGGATAGCCGAGGAAGCCCGGAGGGCCTGTCAGAGGTGAGAACAGTACATTACCCTCGCTGGCGCACGTCTCTCCGTCTCCTCGACTCTTTTCCCCTCATCTACTATTCGCCACCCTCGTCCTTCCTGCGCGGCCCTCCAGCGCCTCATTCGGTCTCTATCATTATATTCACGCATCTCGAGCCGCGACACGGCAACACCGATCTTTCTCCCTTTCTAAACGCAGTCGAAACGCGTAACATCGTTCCTGGACGTCAGTTGAAACGCAGGGAAAAGCTAGCAACCAGATAAACCTGATTTTCCAGGTGTTAATCTATTCGCAACCACGATGCTGTTGGTTCGTTTGGGTTGAAAAAGTCGTTAAGTTTCTCAATATAATTATGTTACAAAATAGATCTAGTCTTCTTATCATCCTGAAATGTGAAGCAGAAAGGAAACTAACATATCTATAGATGTAGGGATATCAATTTTCTGTACTGGACAATAAAAAGTAACAAAATAATCTAAGATTTTAGTGGCACCATTTTCCACATGTAATTCTTTTAGGAG